GTGGACGAGCTCCAGGCCTACGCCGAGCTGGTGTCCCTGGGGCACCCCGACTTCATCGAAGTGAAGGTACGTCCTGCTGGCCGAGGCCTGCGTGGTGACCGCCATGTTCTGTCGGCCACCGTGGAGCCACAGTCACCCAAAACGGAAGGAGGTCCCTGGTATTTCTCTCTAGGGGGACAGACCCTGGAGCTGTCCTCGACATTTGGGGGCTGGCAGGGAAGACAGAGTTCCTGTTCTCCTTCCTGCCTGCCTGGCTCCCTCCCTCCCTCTCTCAGCTCCTCATTGTCTACTGGGGGAAGCAGATGCGCTCTCCCATTCAGTCGGCTGACGTCATTGGTTGGAATGCCCACCAGGTAACAACACCGCTGAGCCCACTTCTTCCCCGAGCCTGTTCATTCCTCCTTGTTCCCTAAGCCTCCCGGGCTCCGTCCTTGGCTAAATGGCTCTCTTTTATAGATCTCAGTCAGTTGATGAGCCTCAGGTGGGCACACCTCCCGAGTGTTCCTGTTCTCCTGATAGACCTGGCTGCTGCTGGCCAGAAGATTGAGCCATGGGGCGGGTTCAGCTCCAGGTGGTGAAGGGAGCCTAAGAGCTTTAATCTTGGGGTTCCACGCATCTCTGTCCAGCCTCTAAGCTGAGCCGCAAGATTTTGTGATTTTTGAGTTTGGCTCCACAGTTTTTTCCTCTCACTCTGTCTAGGACCTTCGGATCGGATTAAGTGCTTGCTCTTAATAACACTTATGCTTTGGATGCTGGGAAAAGGCTTTAAGCTGTGGAAGGACATGATCTGATTGATGATTTTAAGAGGTCGCGCCCTGCTGTGTGCAGGGGTCCTGGAGGGCTGGGGCGGAAGTCAGGGACCGTTTAGGAAGCTAGGGCTCCACTGAGGACAGAGCTGTGGGGGCGCTCAGGCCAGGGGGAGCAGAGAGGGGGTGCATGGGGGTGGGATGTGGACATAGGACCCAGAGTACTTGTTGCTAGACTAGGGGTGGGGTGGATTTTAAAACACCAGGAATCAAGAATGGCTGCAGGGTTTGGGCTTAAGCAGTGGCGTGGCGGGGTGGTTGACTATGTTGGGGACCAGGAGGGGCGGAGCGGGAAGCCATTCACGAGCTCTCTGTGGACCCTCTCTGCTTTGAGAAGAGTGGGTGCAAGTAGCGTGTGGGGGACACAGCTGGCATTCCCGGGGCAAGAGGACTAGAAGCAGGGACTTGGAAGTCATCGGCACAAGCGAGTGGTAGGTCGGTGAAGTTGGGGCAGGCTAAGCAAGAACCCCTACATCCCCCTACCTGCAAACAGTGGGTGGAAGTGGTGGGAGAACTCCCCCCCTGGGGCAGTCGGCTCCGCTCTGTGCAGCCGGTGTGTAGGAAGCACACCAGGGGCCCAGGATGTCTCCAACATGAGGCGGCCTTTTCAAGGGTCCCTGGTGGCACAGTGGTTAGGCACTCCAGGGAAAGAGGAGGCAGGGAAGGTGACCTCCTGGATCCCCTGCCTGGCCATCCTCCTCTGCCCAGTGGGGTCATTGTCATTCCGAACGGAGCGGCTCACCTTGCTGTGTGACTGTTCACAGGAGGGGAGGGGAGGAGAGGTGGGAGCCGGTGAATAAATATTGCTCTGGGGAAGCGGAGCAGCTGGCCAGGTGGAAGAAAGATGCTGCTTGCTTTGGAAAGTGCCCTTAATTTCCAAAGTCACTCTTGCCAGAGTCCCTATTGATGCCGAGACACAGCGACACCGTAGAGTGTGTGCCGGCTTCAGGAAAGCAGGCCGACATCATGGCCCGGGCGCCTTCATTTAGCACGTAGCCTTTGACAAGTGCTGCCGCGAGTCGAGTCTGCTCGCAGAGTGCCTGGGCCGGAGCACCACCGCCTAGGAGCCCCCCAGGGCAATTCTGCTCAGTCCCGTGCGTTCGCCCGAATAAGGATATCGGCGAGCGAGCGAGCAGGGATGAGGGCAAGAGTCTCTAGAAACCCTTGTCATTAGCAACCTGAGTGATTAGTCCCCGAAAGCCCGAAGGTTACAGGGGTTTGTTAGATCTCTCTGGAGCTAGATTTATACCTCTGTCCTTGGCTCCGTGCGGGAGAAAGAATTCACT